GTGAAAAATTCATATGGCTAGCAAGAGGCACATTAACAATTTTACTGTCTTTCATTCCAAATTTAGTTACAACTTTGTTCAAGTACGCTTCTTGTGAAATTGTTAACTTGTTCTTAGCCCTATCCCTTGTTATCACCATCCCTAGAATCTTTCTAGCATTCCCTAAATCCTTCATATCAAATTCCGATTTCAAAAGATCTTTTAGTTCATTAATTTGAGACTTGCTAGGTCCAGCTAAAAGCATATCATCGACATAAAGCAACAAGTAGACTTCACAACCGCTCTTTATGTCATTAAAATACAAGCAAGCATCAAATTCACTTCTCTTAAACCCTATCTTCAGTACAAAAGCATCAAACCTCTTGTACCATTGTCTTGGGCTCTGTTTCAGCCCGTACAAAGATTTCTCCAACTTGCACACATACTCAGACTTACCTCTAGCCACAAACCCTTGTGGTTGGCTCATGAAAATATCCTCTTCCAACTCTCCATGTAAAAACGCAGTTTTTACATCAAGTTGTTCGAGTTCCCAATTGAATTGAACAACAAGAGCCAACATCAGTCTGATCGTCTTGTACTTAACCACGGGTGAAAATATCTCATTATAGTCCACACCCTCTCTTTGAGTATAACCCTTAGCCACTAATCTCGCCTTATACCTCACAGAATCATTAGGGCTTAAACCTTCCTTCAACTTGTAAATCCACTTACATGGAACTAATTTCTGATCTTTAGGTTTCTTAACAAGTTTCCAGGTTTTGTTATCACTCAAAGATTTCATTTCTTCCTGCATAGCTTTTATCCAGTTTTCAGAATAATTTCCATTAATAGCTTCTTCATAACTAGCAGGTTCTATCTGTTCAAGGGCTTCACCTGAAACTAATGCAAACTCAGTCAGACTTAGGGATTCGTACCTAGGGTTCGGCCTAATCTGCCGTCTCGCCCTATCCCTAGTGAGTTGATAATCTTGATTAGGTGGCTGATCATTAAAATGTTCAACTTCAACTGGTTCAATGTTATCTTGAAGTTCAGTCACCTCTTCAGGTTCAGTTTCAGTTTCAGGTTCTTGATGTGTAGGGTCATTACCGTCATTCCCAGGTGTAGGTGAATCAAGCTTAGTAAGCTTCACCTCAGTCTGAACACTCCTCTCAGTTTCAGATTTGTTTGCTTCATTAGTTTTCTGTTTTAGACATGGCATTTCAGATTCATTAAAGACCACATTCCTACTGTTAATAATCTTAATGCCTTGAACCCCTAAAACCCACAACCTATAACCCTTCACACCCTCGGGATACCCTAACATCACACACTTGACCGCCCTCGGCTCAAGTTTCCCTTCAGATTGATGTGCATATGCCGCACAACCAAACACTCTCAAGTGTTCCAGATTTGGAGGCTCCCCCGTCCACAACTCCTGTGGGGTCTTAAACCCTATACTGTTGGACGGTGACCTATTAATCAGATAAGCTGCAGTACTAGCAGCTTCAGCCCAAAACCCTTTGGCAAGGCCCGAGCTAATCAACATACACCTAACTTTGTTCATTATGGTCCTATTCATTCTCTCAGCGACCCCATTCTGTTCAGGTGTGTATTTAACAGTTCTGTGTCTTGTTATCCCTTTCTGCTTACAGAAATTGTCAAATTCGAAATTGCAGAATTCAAGCCCATTATCAGTTCTTAATGTTTTAAGTTTCTTTTCTAACTGATTCTCAACCGACTTTAACCAAATTCTGAATTTCCCAAAAGTTTCCGACTTAGCCTTAAGAGGATAAATCCAAACTTTTCTTGAGTAATCATCCACTAAGGACAAGAAGTACTTACTTCCACCAAATGTGGAATGCTTCTCAGGACCCCATAGATCAGCATGAATATAGTCCAATGGACTGCTGGTCCTATGAGAGCTAGCTTCAAAGCTAACCTTGTGAGATTTACCCAAAACACATGTTTCACAGAAGTCCATTGATTCAATATCATCTTTTCCAAGTAATTTTTGATTACTTAAAGATTTTAACCCTTTAAACCCAATGTGACCCATTCTGTTATGCCAAAGTTCGGTTTTGTTTTTACTGACAGCAAGAAGACTTGAATCAGGTGTTGTTTCAGTTTTGCCCTCTAGATAGTACAGCCCATTCCTCTTGGGTCCTTTCATAACTATCAGAGATCCCTTAAAAATTTTCAGAACGTTATTCCCGGACTTAAAAGTATATCCCTCATCTTCAAGAGTACCTAAGGAAATGAGGTTCCTCTTTAAATTAGGGACATACCTAACCTCCCTGAGTTGCCTGACAACCCCATCGTACATCCTGATGGCTATGTCACCAACTCCAACCACATTCTGAGAATTGTTATCTCCCATGTAGACCTTCCTAGACTCAATCTCTCGATAGTTATAGAACCAAGACCTTTCAGGGCACATGTGAAAGGTGCACCCCGTGTCTAGGATCCAATTGTTATCAAATTCCCCCTCAGACACATTTAGGACATGTAGACTATCAAATTCAGAAACAACAGCAGCATTGTTTTGATCAGTGTTATTTAATTCTCTCTGTTTCTTCTTCCAGTCAAAACAATCTTTCTTAAAATGTCCTAACTTTCCACAGTTATAACATTTTTTACCACTTTTGTCTTTTGATTTCGATCTCATTTTAGACTTTCCCCTTCCCTTTTTGTTATGGAAGTTAAATTCTTTCTTTTCGGTTCTCCCCCTAACAAATAAGGCTTCTTCTTTTACATTTGTTCTGTTGTCTCTTTTCAGTTCAAGTTCCCTCGATTTCAACGCATCTATCACAATAGACTGCGTGAGAGCATCCCTGCCATATTTAATTACATTTCGGATTTCTTTATATGATTCGGGCAATGAATTTAACAATATGACAGCTAAATCCTCATCGTCGAACTTCTTATCATTATGAGCCAAACTTTTCACAATTATGCTATAATCGCTTAAATTCCCTTCTATATCCTTTCCTGGGTTCATCTTAAAACTAAACAATTTTTCTAACAGATAAATCTTGTTAGGTAAGTTCTTAGTTAAGAATAGGGCATCTAAGGCAGTCCATAAAGTCCTAGCGTCTATAGCACTATCAACTTGTCTAATAATGTTATCAGATAAGTGTAAAATTATAGAACTGTATGCAATCTCATTCATATCTTCGATTTCATGAGGTTTAGCCTTTAATTCATCAGAAAATGTAGAAGGATCATCAAGAGCTTTAGCAACTCTCTGTTGGACCAAAATGGCCCTCATTTTCTGTTTCCAAATTGAGTAGTCCCCCTTCCCATCGAATTGCGATAATTCGACCCTCGAACCCATTCCGGATTCTGTAAAAGGGTGGCTCGTACTCATGGACAAACAGAAAATGTTTTGAAAAAAATTCTTTTCCAGATAATCAACACACAATATGAATGCAAAGTCAAAAAACCAATGTTTAGAAATGAAGCACAACAATGAATCAATTCGATCACTTAAACTTCAGTGTGATGTGTGCAAGTGTGATCCAAACACAGGCAGTGAACATGTATACAATGCAAGTGAATATGCTTTCAGGTTATAGGTAAAACAAGCATTCATAAACAGGTAAGAAAACCAAACCTAACATATCGGAGAGTTTGGAATAATCTTACCAAACCACTGTTGAAAAACAGTAAGTATACTACCAGTTCCTCAGCCAATCCAAGTTTCCAGAATCACCCAATCAGTCAACAACATACACAACACAAAGTCACAATAATCAGTATCGAATTAAAAATACAAGATGCCAAATAACAGTAATAGTTTCTGTTTAAACCTCAGAAGGCATATACAGATATATTACTGACAGAATCGAAAAACCCCAAATCAGTGAAGGATAAAAACGGAAACCCTAGACCTAAAGCTAGCTCTGATACCAAATGTTGGGAATTAACTAACTAATGCAAACATTAATAAACAATAAACAAGCTCCAGAACATTAACAGAGTTCACCACATGCTCCAACACATAGCATAAACAATTTCTAGCAGCTCATTAACCAATGACGGATCTAATATTCAACCCCATAAATCAGAATTCAACAGACTTAAATAACCAGTCTCATAACCTCAGCATTCAATATGTAACCAATGGCATTTACAAATATCCATAGACCAACTGAATATATATATATAAACCATATATGCTGAAAATGGGAACCTCAGAACTGAACAACAGAAACCTCAAAATGGACAGAAAGCATAAAGTATAAACGAAGATAAAAACTTCCATATTTTGCCGTGCAGCTTCCTTCTCCAGACTGTTCTTCTTCCCATTAGAAAGCTTAAAGTATAAACGAAGATAGAAACTTCCCTATTTTGCCGTGCAGCTTCCTTCTCCAGACTGTTCTTCTTCCCTTCTTGATGGCTGAATCATCTAGGCTCAGGAACAGCCTTCCACGCCCGTAAACTGCCGTCCAGAGAGAGGTGAGAACCAGTAAAGAATGCCTCTTCACTTGGCTAGGATCATCGACCAACCGGTCTCCCAAAATAGCCAAGATTCCTACCAACAATCCGACCCAAAACCAACAGAGAAACCACCAATCTTTTCCATTATTTCAGGCCTAAGAATACATCAAGGTTTCTTCAATCAATAGGCTACTAGGTCGATTTTGGTACGAAGAAGAAATGGCTCCCAAGGAACCAGAGAAGAAAAACGGGACCGAGAGTAAATCATGCCAAGAAAAGAAGCCAGGGAGTTGTATCCAAGAAGCCAAAGTCCACGTGATATATAGATTCAAAAATAGAAAATATCCCACCCACTTCAATCTCAACCGTAGGTTGAATCAAGGGTAAAAAATGATACAAGGAAAAACATACAACCCGGTTATAGCATAGGCCCAAGAAGGTGTTAAAGAGAACCACTTACCAAGCCCAATAAGCCCACATGCATGGACGAAAAGTAACACTTCATAGCTCCTACCCACATTGTTCACGTCTCGTGGCTAATACATTCACTCTGCACGATATTACTCTGGTTGGATGTCATGATGGAATGCACTAGGACGGTTGGAAAGAAGAACTTCAAAGAGGATGCCAAGCAGTAAATAACAACAAACTTAGCATTGGCCGTGTTTCTTATTGAATTTAATATATTGCTTCTTATCACGTGGTAATCAATTGTTTGTTCGTTCGTTGATTTCTTTTAGTTCTCACCTCAATCTTTTATTCTTTATAAACAAGGCATGTTTTTTCTTTTTCTTTTTTTTTTAACCAGCTTCTTTCACATTTACGGATGAATCGGGAAATTTGTTTTCACATTTACGGATGAAAATGAGTATGCCAAATAAAGAGTTATGTTTTAATGAGAGTCAAACATGAACTTAATAGAATCGGTTTTGCTACATGTATATAATGGTTTACATATCATATTGTGAGATATGATTGTATCAGAATTTCTTTAATCAAATTAAAAAAAAGAAAAAAAATATGCACTCTTTTTTTTGACACTATTGTATCAGAATTTCTTTAATCAAATTAAAAAAAAGAAAAAAATATGCACTCCTTTTTTGACACTATGTAAATTATTATATAATTCCTTATATACAAGTAGCACTATTCTAATAGAGTTAACACGATCACCACTTTCGGTTATGCTACATATATATAATAGGTTTATATACACATAATGTGGCGATACATGATTTGGTCAGAATTTCTTTAACCAATAAAAAAAAAAAAAACTCTCTTTTTGACACGTCATCTGTATATAAATCATTATGTAATTGTTTATATACAAGTAATATTATTCCAACACTTTTTAACTATATATTTTATTAACTTTTAACAAAATTTACTAAAAATCTTATTTTTATTTAAATCAAATAGAATAAAATAATGAAGTTCTGAATTCATAAAATGTATTAATATAATATATATTTCATTAAGTTAAATAATATTTTAAGCTTTATCAAATATGCACCAAACTAAACACTTAAAATATGTGATTTTTGGACAATTAAAATTTAGCCCTTGTTTGTCAACTATTCTTCCAAACAACATTTCTACACTTACGCTCTCCCTTAAACTTTTCTTTACACTCTTACACATGATAACATCACACTCTTGATTTTGAACTCATCTATCACATCATTGGACAAATTTCATCCACATAGGGAAAATGGCAACTAAATTGTTATGGTTGATATATATATATATATCATTATTCTCTTTCAAAACTCTTTTTTTGTATATATTCATTGTCAACTACACATTTACACGATAAAATATTCTACACGTAAATTCAAAAAAAATTCCTACTTTTTAACCGCATATTTTTCCAAAAATTCGCTATTCGAAACAATTTTTTTCCAAAACAAATGTCCATCAAATAGGGCCTTAAAATAGGGAAAATTGCAAAATCTTTCAAAAACTCGCACCCGAAATTCAAATGGATGATTTTAATTAGTTTAACTGTTAGTTGACTCAAGAAATTGATTTTGACCAATTTTAAAGGGACAAAATGATAACTTTGAACTAAAATAAAACATAAATAAAAAATAAAAATAAAAAAAGCCAGCCCCAGCCCTACCAAAAAAAGTACCGTTCACCATCTCCTTCACACTGTACCCCAAACTAACCACAACCACCATAGCCGATGTCGACTAGCCGCCTGCCACTTCACCATCTTATTTTGAATTTCATCATCTCAAATCACAAACCATTATCAAAACCATTTTCTTCCTGTCAAGAATATCCACATCAATGTGATCTACGGTGGCGAAAATCCACCTTATGGCCATACCCACCGTCTCGAACCACCACCGGTAGACTCTTACACCACATGCGCTCAATATGATAGTGATGATTGAATAGAATAGGGCCAAAATATCAATAAATTTTCTGGGATTTCGTATCCAAACGCGTGCAAACGGGGGCTCTCATATTCAATCCAATTGGTGATTTTCCCATTGTTCAATCCACAAATTCACCCGTGGGAACTCATATTCATACTCAGACGACTGTGGGTACACAATTAATTGATCCAACTGCAGCTCAGTTGCCTCTTAATTCGATCCCCAAAGTAGCAACTGGGTGGTTGTTCTTCCATCCAATGTGATCCACTAGTGGCCTAAGTTGGCCTCCCCTTGCTTTGTGAGAGCTGAAATGCTGCCCCAGCAATAACTTGATTATTCACATCATAGATCACATTGACTTGAAAGGAAATGATGAATTTGGGGTGGGTTAGTTTGGGGTGGGGGGGATGAACAGTACCTTTTTTTTATTTTTATTTTTCAGGTGGGGCTTTTTTTTATTTTTTGTTTTAATTTAATTCAAAGTTACAATTTTGCCTCTTTACAATTGGTCAAAATCAATTTATCGGGTCAACTAATGATCAAATTAACAGAAATCATTCATTTGGATTTCAGGTGCGAGTTTTTGAAATATTTGGTTCTGTGGGTAAAACAAGATTAAAATTTAGGAAAAGTCTGCTTAGAGCTTGTATGGGAGCAATTTTAATCCAATTAAAATTGAAAATATAGCCGTTATTGGGTCCCACTCGTCTAATAAAAGTCAACAATAACGACTAATTTTTCAATTTTAATCCGATTTAATCTCTACCAAACAAGCTACTAATNCCTTGCGCAAAACGTCATTTTCACTGTTTTTCATGGTAAAATGACTAATATACCCTTCTTTTTAAATAAAAGAAAAGAAAAATAAGGAACAAATTGCAATCTTACTCCTAAACTTTTTTCAAAAGTGCAAATGAGTCCAAATAAATAAAAAGAAAAGAAAAGAGAAACTAAATAATTAATTACAATGATAAACCCAAATTTTTAAATTATTGAAATCGGGTAACTAGTATGGTGTTGAAGCTTCTGCCAAATCAGAGACTTATGGTCGGAAGTGGGAGCCATCGGCTGCTCTAGAAGCCATTACTTCCCTTTCTAGGCAAAAAAATTATCCAATTTTTTGGAGTTTAATTGATGAATAGAATCGAGAAAAAATGAACGATTAGACGGCGAATTAAGGATATAGAACCGACGACTCAACTGGAAGAACTGTTTGAAGAATGGGTCTGTAAAGCTGCCGAATTGAAGCAATTGATCAATTACCCATTGTCTTAGAAACTTTAATTGAATGTTGGTGGTTGCAATTTGTTGATTGGGAAAATGCGCCGAAAAACCCGTCTGAAAGTTTCATTTTCGCTGTGTTCAAAGCTACCACCTACTGGTGTTGATTCTGAGAAATAGGGGACGGTTTTGGATAATGGACAGGGGTGTCTTGAGGTGGAGAATCGATATGAATGTTGGGCTTTGCATGTGTGTCGCCGACAAAGGAATTGTCGGCCGATTTTGGCAAAATGAGCAGGCGGTTTTTGTCTAAATTTCCAGTTATTTCAAGGCTGTTCGATGCATGATATTGGGTGGGAATTGAAGGGCATAGTGAGGGCTTTCTAGTGGTGTTAATTTCCGGTGATTTTGGTGGTGGTTGGCCGGAGTTTATGGCCATCAACGGTGGGGGGCTAGTTGGGGGGGCAAAAAAATTAGTATCTTGTTGAAAATGGTGGGGGCAGTTTTTATTTTTTATTATTTTTAATATTTAAATAGTTTATTTGGACTCATTTGCACTTTTTAAAAAAGTTTAGGAGTAAAATTGCAATTTGTTCCTTATTTTTCTTTTCTTTTATTTAAAAAGAAGGGTATATTAGTCATTTTACCATGGAAAATAGTGAAAAGGACCTTTTGAGCAAGGAAACGTTGAAATAAGGGCGAAAATGCAAAAAAATGGAACGTAATGACGTTTTCCACAATAGGGGTCAAACGTAGGGACGTTTTGCGCTATTAAGCTATACCTCTTTGACCTGGGTTATGCTACAAGTACAGGGGCCTGATTTACAGGCCCCTACCAGGTGAGATACATTGGGGGGGTGGGCCACAGTTTTTTTATTGCAAGTGGGGCCCGGCTCAGTGTGAGTGGCCTGTAAGGCCTCGGTAAGATGAGGCCCTGTACTCAGGGCTTTATTCCTTTGACCTCATGGTTTCTTCGATGTGGTAATTACATGAGACCCTACTTTTCAAGTTTCAAATTCCAAAATTAGATTTGAAGTTTTAATGTTAAAAAATCCGATGTTTTATATATAGATACATGTTTTCTATATTTAATAAAATAATAATAATATTATAAAAATTAAATTATATCCAGCCCATCCCAAAGCACCCACCTCGCATTAGAATTAAAATTGAAATCCCTAATTCATTTCTGATTCAGATCTCCCTCACCACGTCTCTCTCTCTCTCACTGCGCTGTCGGCGCCTCCTCGCCGCTGCAACTCTTCTCTCTCTCATCGCTGCCTCCATCTCTAATTACTCGACTTTCAGGCTTCAGCAGAACTCCCTCCCCCCATCTCCCTCTCGGCAGAACCTTCTGACAACGTCGGCACTATCGCCTTCTGACAACGCCAGCACCTTCGCCTTCGGACAATGCTACGTGGTCTCCTACGGTCCTTCATTTCCACACAGATTTCCCCTAGATCCCGGCATCATTGACGTTGTAAGTCGCCGAGTCGTCGGAGGTGCGTGGCATCTGTTTATTAATTCTCCATCTCCTCTATTTCTACTGTCACGGTGTTTATTGATTTCCCATCTCCTCTATTTCTTTCGATCTGTTTAGTATCGTGTTGATGGTTAATGTGAAGATGGCGTTGGCGGAGGTGACTGCTGTCATTAAGGGTTCCGAGATTTGTTTTGTGGGTGTGGTGGTTGTGGTAAGTTAATTGTTTTTGGGTTGTGGTGGTCGTACTGCAGGCAGTCGTGCTGAGGTATCGACGGTGATGGTGGCACTGGAGGTGGCGGCGTCGGATTTGGTGTTGAATAGGTCAATCAAATTTTGTAGTTTTGGGGGGTTTTTTTTGTTGGTGGTGGCGACCCAGTCGCAGGGGACCTATTCGACTCGGGGGAGCAGTCCTGACTTGTGTGAGCTATGGTGGTTACTACTGTCACGGTGTTTGTGAAGTGGTGAGGCTGTGTTGGTGACGTTTGTGATGGTGGTTGTGGTAAGTTGTCGACTGTGGTAGCGGCGGAGTAGGGTTAGGGCATGTAAGATGGTGTGGTGGTGAGGTGGTGCTGTATAGTCTATGTGACCAATGTTGTGACTTGGGCTATGTGCTGTGACCATTTGAAAATAACGTGGGACTATGAACAAAATCGTGAGCCATGTGCAATATGTTCTGTGACTTATGCTGTGACCATTTGAAAATAATCTGTGACTATTAACAAAAATGTGAGATATGAGCCTTATCGTATTATCAATCATTATAAACAAAAAACCATGCGTTGTGATCTGTGACCTGGACTGTG